AGGAAAGGCCCTATGCAAAAGGTGGCGCTCAAAATGGACCTTGATTTTATTATTTTTTTAAATTTTTTACAAGGCAATTGGGGTTAAGTGACTTACCAAGGGTCACACAGTTAGTTAGTGTCAAGTATCTGAGGCTGGATTTGAACTCAGGTCCTCCTGACTCCAGGGCTGGTACTGTATCCACTATGCCACCTAGTTGCCCCTGGACCTTGATTTTTAGGGGTCATAAGAAGCACAGAGAAAAGGAACTGCATTGCAGGCATGGCAGGGGGGACAGCCAGTGTAAAGACATGAAGATAGGAGATGAGATGGTGTGTATGAGCCACAGGAAGAAGGCCAGTTTGGCTGCACTGCAGTGTTAAATGAAGAGGTTTATTAAGGCTAGAAAGGAAGGTCAGGGCCAGGTTGTGAATGGCTTTAAGTGCCAAATAAAAGAGCTTATTTGATTCCAGGGGCAATGAGCAGTAATTTACTGAGTAGGGGTGTGACACAATTAGACCTGCACTCGATGATCAGCTGCAACGGAGAAGAAACTTGCAGCAGGGAGCCCATAGTATAAGAAGTGAGGAGGGCCTGAAAGGGTGGCAGCTGTGTGAGCAGAGAGAAGGGGACAGTTAGGACAAGCCAAGACTTAACAAATAATTGGTTATATGGAGGGGATGATGGTTATGGGTAGGATGACTCCAAAGTTGTGAACTTGGACGACTACAAGGAGGCTAAAGCCTTTGCCAGACAGAGGAAATTTCATCGTCTTACTACTCCACCTTAGAAAGGTGGACCCTTGGCCAAAAAGCCTGGTTCCCTTCATGGTACAGACGGAAGAATGGATGTACTGCCAAGACATACAAATGGATTAAGTCTCACGGAGAGTTGGCGACCAATCTTCTAGAATGCCCCCTTTCAACTACAATTGGGAGACACGATGTTTCTGAAATGGACACTTCTTTCTAAATTGTAGGAATGGCAAATACATACGTGTAAATTGGTTAATACCGTGCCCCCTCTTAGAAGAAAAATCCACAGTAGCCATGGCCAATTTTTTCATTCCCTGTTGTTTTCACAGATCTTCCCCCAGATCCCACTAGTCTGTTGACTAGAGAAAAAGCAAGTTACAGATGGCAAAATAGCAGCTAACCACCCTCTCTGCCATTATAACCAAACAGCTTCTGGCTTGCCTACAGAGTTACTATGACCAAAAAGCAGCTGATTACAGAGTTTAGGAATGATGCTACTCTTAACTCAAATTAAGGTGGAGGAAGGGAAGAGGTGAACGAATCCCAGAATTTTAGAGCTAAAAGGAGGGGCAGCTAGGTGGCGCAGTGGATAGAGCACCGGCCCTGAAGTCAGGAGGAACTGAGTTCAAATCTGGCCTCAGACCAAACACTTGACACTTACTAGCTGTGTGACCCTGCGCAAGTCACTTAACCCCAATTGCCTAAAAATTAAAAAAAAAAAAGAGAGAGAGCTAAAAGGAGTCCTAGGGAATATCTAATTTAATTCCATTCTGCAGCTAGGGAAACTGAGGCACAGAAAGGAGACCTGCCTCTCACATTAATTAGCATGTTTCAGTATGTGAAGGATCAAATTTAGTCTCACTGACATTTAGGGAAAAAGTAAACATAGCCAATATGAACTATAAAAACCCCAACAGTCTTAAAGGGGAGGTGCAAAGTCTCTTAAGCCACCACCTTAAATACTAGCTGACTTTCCTGGTGAGGAGGGGACTGACCATGCTTCATTTCTCCAAAGCAACAAGAGAAAGAAGGGTAAAGAAATATGCTGTTAATGAAGTCCTTGAATTGGGAGCGACAATGAAGTCCCTGAATGGAGCAAAAGAGGAGAAGGCCACTATCAGCTACATGCTGTTCCTTTCCCTGGTAGGAACTCTGGCAAAATGGGGCTGGAGGGGTGGGGGTGGGGGTGGTAGGGGCATGGGGTGAGAAGGCAGAGGCAAACAGTCTTATCAAGGCTGGCGGTAAATCTACTAGTAGAGACTAATCTAGTGGTTGGAGATCTTTGCCTTCAATAATCATCTATGTTGGTTTTGTAGCTTACCAGGAATCAGAGAAAATTGATGGAATCTAAGATGGTATTTTCCACCAAAGTCTACAGTAGATTTCATCTCAGTTTAAAGTCTGCTGAGCTTTTCCTGAGGTAGCTGACTGGACTGTGACTTACCTGAAGGTATAGTTTCCCGGGACCAGGTTGGTCAGTTTTAATATGGCTGTGTCTTCAGATACTTTTTCTTCTCTCAGGGGCCCCTTCAGTTCTTCCCAGTGGTATCGAACAATTTTATCATCATCCGTGCTTTCTGATCACAAAGAAACCTCACATGTACACGTGGTGCTCTCTTTGCATATGTCTTATATAGAGCAGGAACTACAGACTGTCTCTTGAAAGTATTTTTCTCCTAGCAATGGGAGATTATTCAGAAGGTCTAAGTAGCTGCCTCTGCAGCACAGGTGCAAGCAACCTGTGGTCTAATGCTGCTTCTTCCAAAGGCAATGACTAGCAGCCTTCTACCCACTTCCCTCTCCATATGGCACCCTTTTTCTCTCTCTTCCTCCCCCTCCTCCTGTTCTCTTTCTTCCATTTTCTACCTTTGCCTCAGGGCTGCCAACAGCACTCCTGGACAAAGCTGGTTGGTGGCATTAGGGACTAAAGAGAATCCTGTGACAAAACAATCCACACATACTAGGAAAGGAAGGTTGAGCAATATCTTCACGGAACTCAATCAAGCTCATATTATGAATAGCCTAAAGATCTATGACATTGTTTGAACAGTGGTGAAGGGTCAAGAGTTCTCTGTGCTTCATTCTTCAACAGAATCTACTTGCAGGGGCAAGAAAACTCTGTGTCACCCTAGGAGAAGATAAATACCACTGAGTGGTACGGAAAGCTCTCCAGGTAAGGTCTCCGCATCTTTGTCTACTACTCACTCTGCCGTGTGAAAAAAATTCTGGTGATATTAACGTGTTCTCAATTTAAGGGGTAGGAACACAAACTAGGTAAACTTATGAAATCATGACACTCCAACTAAAAGAACTTTAAGTGACTGTGCAGCCTTTCCACCCCGAGGTATGTACAAGTTGCTTTAATCCATTCCAGTTCTACGGCCGGGGGCTTTAGCCGCCTTGGGCAGCACAGGAGCAGCAGAGGGAGGTTCACAATGACCAAAGTGATGCCCTGGGGCTGCACGCCTCGCCCCCATAGGGCACTTACTCTGGCAGAGCAGGGTGAATGCTGACCGCAGAGTCATACGCTAGGGAGAGTACTTACGGCTGCCATCAATGACCGTGGAAGTGGTTGGCAGAGAGATCTCCTGGAATCGTGGTGACACAACAGCAACAGGGGGCTGGTTCACATGAGGCTCTGTAAGAACATTGACCCGGTAACATAAGGAGAACATATGGGCCTTGTGGTAAAGTAAAGAAGAACCCATTGGGCTCCAATGACACCGTTTGATAAGCCTGTCTAAGCTAGTCACTGGGGAGGGGGCGAAGAACACAAGCATGCTGTAAGCCACTTCCAGGTAATCAAAGGTTAAGAGACCCAATTCTTTTTTCTCTCCGGGGACGGTTAGGACACTGTGAACACCAACTTGTAAAAACCCTGCTCACATCCAAATCTAACTTAGTTACTCTTCAGGCTTAGGCCAAAGCCTCTCACTGTGCTGCTATGGGTTACGTTCCAGCAGCAGAAGACAGACCCATGGGGCAGCTAGGTGGCACAGTGGATACAGCACCGGTCCTGAAGTCAGGAGGACCCGAGTTCAAGTCCGGCGTCTGACACTTGACACTTACTAGCTGTGTGACCCTGGGTAAGTCACTTGACCCCATTGCCTAGCCAAAAGAAAAAAAAAAAAAGAGAGAGAAGACAGACCCACCTAAGAGTGGGCCTACAGTGGGTCTCCTATAACAATGCTCTTTACTACATGAGGAAGGCCATGAATAATTCCCCAACAATCACTTAGTGGCTTCACGTATAGCTTAGGAGGTGGTATGATGTGATCTCTGCAGATATAATTATTACCCTTGTATAGCAACCACCCTAAAATGGCTGTAAACTCCAGGAATGCTCTCATTTCTTTTGTAAATGATCGATCAGGCTCTATTTTTGGTCAAGCAAAAGACAGACTGCCCAGTACCTAGGTTGAAGAGCTTAAAACTTCTAAACCGAGGTCTGGAAAGGTACAAAGCTCAAGGAGAGAAAGCTGACAATCCCTGGCTCACGGTTTCAATGGGTCACGGAGGTAACCGTAGGTTCTCAGAGACCGTACCAGCATAGCACAAGTTCTGACAAGCCCTACAAAGCTGGAAAGTCTTTGGTTATAGACCACAAAACACTGTGTCTGATGTCTGAGGACCAACCTAACTAAGCACACAGAGGCTCAATACCAAGACAAAAATATAGATCATCCTCTGCTCTCTATAGCCCTATTCTGCTTCCTTAGTGATAGATCCTTCATCAATATTTCTCATCTGAACAGGTGCCGTAGGTCAACAATGATGTGGGCCCAGAATTCAAGAGGAGGAAGAGATTAGGCCGGGTCACATCTGAGAACCTACGTGGTGCTTTCAATGAACCCAGATTGCTGGCTGCCACAACAGCCCATCTCGTTAGCACCGATAGAGCTTACCACTGATATAGAATAATCAGAGAAAGGCCTCAAATGTATTGTTTGGATAGGTATGGAAAAGATAAGTTTAAGAAGGTCACAAGATAAGGAATAAGCAGCTATATAATGCCTACTATGTGTCAGGCACTGGGCTAAGTGCTTTACAGATATTATCTCATTTGAGCCTCACAACAACTCTGGGAGATAGGTGCTATTATTATCCCCATTACATAGTTGAAGAAACTGAAGCAAACAACGACTAAGTGACTTGCCCAGGGTCACACAGCTAGTAAGTGTCTGAGGCTGGATTTGAATGTAAATTTCCTGACTCCAAGCCCAGTGCGGCATGGAAACGATTGCAATCCTCATTGATGAAAGGAATATCAAAGCCAAGAGGCCTTTGATTACAAAGCTCAAGAAAGGAAAATTGATCCCCAGAATAAAATAAAATACCCACAAACAGGTTCTAACCTGTTTAGCTTTGTCAATAAATGAATGGAAAGGGCTATCAGAACTTCAAGATCGGGACGTTAAAGGTGGCACTGAGAGAGGCACTGAAACACAGGTTTTGGCTTCTGTGGTATCTTCCCCTGTCTGCTCTGCCCCCATTTGTCTAGAAATGCCAAGCAAGAGTTAAGAACATAAAGAGTTTTCCTATGATCCACTAACAAGCCAGCTGCAGGAAGAATCTGTTGGAAAGGAGGAAAAGTTGGCTCCTACAGTGAAAGAGGAACAGTGGTGGATGCATGAGGAACTCTCTGTACAGTCCTGCATCTCTGGAAGGAAAATAAATGATCATCCCCCCAGTGCCAGATGATAGGTTTTTTTTCTTTAGACTCTGGCTCTTGGCTCTCTCAGGCCATTTTCCTGAAGCATATGGTGCTTTCTCAGAACAGCATGCTTAGAGAAGTCCTCCCAAACAGTTCTTTGGTAAAATTGCTGGGCTAGGTTCTTTCTGCACAATGGTCATATTACCAATGCCACCCTCTCTTGCAGATTGTTTTAGCTAAAGCCGAAGCAGAGACTTTTCCAGAAACATATAATCACAAAAAAAACTGTAAAACATTCCAAAGCCTAAATTTCCTTCCTCCTTAAAATCTTACAACCCAAGATTGGGATCTACATACCTGGATTTACCGTCACATTCACATATCCCTCCCCATGAGAATTCTGGCCATGTACAACCACTTTGAATTCATAGAGACCAGGGGTGAGCTGTAAAGAAAGAGAAAGGGCCTTATTAGACAATCATGAAGCACAAACAATCTGATTTACAACAATCCCCAAACATCAAGCCTTGAGCCCCGGACTTTAGCATATATTTTGTATAAACTTTGTTTTTTTCAAATGAACAAAAACTATCTTCTTTCTCTCCAGCCTTCCCTTTGACCACTGAAAAAGAAAAAGAGAAAAATAAAACCCTTGTAACAAATATGCACAGTCAAGCAAAACACATTACTGCACTGGCCATGTCTAAAAACTATTCTCAGCAACCCTTTGTGGCATTAGTCACAGAATGAGAAAAAAGGAGTGGGGAAGAGAAGGCCAAGCAACGGATTGGAAATTCAGTTCAGGAAACAATAATTAAGGGCACATATGTAAGACACTGTGTTAGGAGCTGGAGATACAGAGATAAAATAGGACTGATCCTGCCTTCTGTGAACTTACCTGTAGTAGGACGGAGAAGACAAAGACAAATAATAACATAAGTACAAAGAAGATGGTCTTCGAGATTATCGTTTTGGAAAAAGAAGAAGAAAAAGAAAAAGACATACTTGCATAAGAGATGAGTAAAGAAAGAAATCACTTATTTATAGCTGAAGAAAGAAAGAGGAAAAAAAAAACAAAACAGAAAGTAGGACCTGAGCTGGGTCTGAAGCAAAGAAAGGATTTCAAGAGATCAAAGTTCAAAGGGAAACAATGAAAAGCAAAGGCAGGACATAAAGGCAAAGAGGCTGGAAAAGGTAGAATTAGATCTCAGAACAGGAAATAGTCTTGTAAAGGAAGGGGAGGCAAGTTTCTAAAAAGGTTGGTGAGCTTGGAGCCAGACCATGAAGGTATTATTTCATTCTACAGAGCAATGAAGAAACCACTGGAACACTTTGAGCAGGGAAGTGGAACAGAAAGGGGAGAGAATGGAGGCAGGGAAACCAGTTAGGAAATCATTGCATTAGTCCAGGCAAGAGATAGCAGTGGTCTAAACGTTACACCAGGGGTAGAAAGAAAGGATGGGTATTAAAAGAGATACTGAAGGGATATACTCAAAAAGACTGAAGGACTGACTAGATGAAGGAAGGGGAAGGAAGAGTCAAAAATGACAGAAGTTTTATGTTTTAATGCCAATTCTAATAGTAATTGCCTCTGGGACAACATGACAGGTTTCAATTCTCTGGATGTCAATGTTCCTATAAGGGTAATATTGAAGTCCGAGAGATTTCGACCCCTCAAAGACCGAAATATAGGATGAGGTCATCTGAAATGAATTCACAAACTCAAGCAATCTTTAAGTCAAATGTTGTTATGCTTTTCAATAGGCAAAGATTCTTAAGGAACCTGCAACCTAAAAAGAATGATGCTAAAGCTTATATTGGAAAAGCAGTAGATTATGTGCCAAGTATGCTAATTAGGTGATAACATACAACTATGTCATTCACTACTGGAAACCAGGGAGCAGGGTCCTAAGGGGTGTATTTTTTGGTCTGTTATGTCTGTGACAAGAGAGCTTCAGGAGATGATGTCTATAACTTGACCCCTGGATTGTACACAATAATTGTGGGAATCAGTACATGATAGTTCTGTTGATACAAGATAGTACAAGGGAAATTCTACAGAGGTCAGTTTGTTCTGGTAACAGGGAGAGATAGTTTGCCTTCCTGGGCCCACTCATGAGTCACTGCCAGAGATAGGGTCTTTGGGATGTAGGGAAACTGCCAGGGATAGTGTTTTTTCTGGGGCCAGAGAGAAATTGGGGTCCAAGCACAAGGCCATCAGTAATAAGTAAGGCCCTTTATACTCTTTTAGCTAACACGACTGGTCTGTGAGGTTTAAATGATGATCTTTAAAAAAAACAACAACACTAGAAAAAGAGTCTGGAAGCATAGTAGAGTGCTGGGCTTAGAGTCAGAAAGACTCAAGTCTAACTCTGGCCTCAGTCATTTATTAGCTGTGTGACCCTGGGCAAGTCACTGAACCTTTGCCTGACTCAGTTTCCTTAACTGTAAAATGGGGGTGATAATAACAGCACCTGCCTTGCAGGGTTGTTGTGAGGATCAAATGACATAATATTTGTAAAAGCATTTAGCAGAGTATCTGGCACACTGTAGGCACTATATAAATGCTTATTCCATCCCTTTCCCTTCCTTTCCCTAGAAAAGTGTAGGATAATTACTGAATTCCATTACAACAAGGAAATGCTCACAGCTATGTGGATCCTAAGGTCAACTGTCTTGTGAGGTCTAAACTCCTTATACTACTGCTACAAGCTGTTCAGCAATTATATTTATAGCCAATACCGTTCTGCCAGAGAAGTTTTTCTCACCAAAAATGTCATAAACTAACAAATACTGGAAACCTGCCAGTTGGGCCTTTGAAGGACTCATTTCTGAAGAGATGCTCAGGATCTGAGTGCTAAAAGTCTCTCTTGACCCTTCTGTGTATAGAAAAAAAAATCCTACCTGGTATTATACACTTTAGAAAAAGGATGGGTACGCCTTACCCACCCCATATACAGGAAGGAAATTCACCTTGGAGAGCTTGAGGACCCGTGAATGCTGTCCTTCCATTTCCCCACTGTAGTTTGTAGGATGAGTAATCAGCTTCCATTCGTAGGAGTAGATTTTGCCTAAAGAAGGGCCAGTTACAGAAATCATGAAAACATACACCTACACCCCCTAGAGTGAGGGCATCCACAATGCCTACCAATAATTCTTATTTTTATACAAAACAGATCTGAATTTCAGACATAGCCTTACTTTTATAGGTCTCATCTCAAAGCTTCTCAGGAGCTAGACCACATGGGATTCAAGTAATCTGCTTGAACATGAGGGAGGGTTCAACTGACCCTGCTCTTGCTACTGCCTGCTGCTCTCCAGGTCCCCCACGGCTCAAGCCTACCGCTCCCTCCTCCCAAATAAAAATTATAGGTGTGTGGATGCATGCCCAGGTGTGGTGTGGTGTGATGTGGTGTGGTGTGGGGTGTGTGTGTGTGTGTGTGTGTGTGTGTGTGTGTGTGTGTGTGTGTGTGTGTGTGTGTGTGTGTGTGTGTGTATAAAAATGGTGGCATCCTAAGTGATGCTATGTTAGTGGTGACTGCTGATTCTTACTGACAATATCTGCCCTGGAATCTCCTCCTCCCAACCAGCAGAGATGAACTCACTGGAAACAAAGACTGTTTTCTTAAAAACTTCTTTTGCAACAAAGAACAGCAATGATTTCTAAATAACACGGTTCGGAAATAGCTTTGCACCGAGTGCTAACAATGCTCGTCTCACTAAGGTCATCACACTCTGGTGAGTTAAAAGAGTTGCTCAAATCCTGCTGAGCCAAATAACATCCTGCAGCAAGCGAGGACTGCAGGAGATGGCCCATTTAAAACAGCCCCTATTTAAATTCATTAAAATCAGATAGAGCACATATCACAAAAGTCCTACCTCTTTGATGTCATAGTTTCTTGTTCAGAACAAATAAGGGAGATTGTTTTATTGTCCCAATGGGGAAAATACTCCCCACACTGCTTGGGATCAAATATGCAGATAGGTAAGCAGACATGCAAAGAGCCCTGGCTCTGGAGTCAGACGACCCGAGCTCAAATCCTATCTCTGCTATTTTCTGACTGCATGACCTTAGGCAAGTCACTTCTCTTTGGGCCTTGGTTCCCTCATCTGTAAAATGAGAAGGTTGGACTTGATGATCTCTGAAATCCCCTGCAGCTCCAATTTCATAATCCTACACCTCAAGCTAGGTGAGGGGGCTATGCAAGGACTCAGTTTAAGTGACCGTTTTAGGTTTAAAGAGGAGAAAATACCACTCATGGCAAAAATATATTGAAAAGGAGAATAATCTGAGTGAGGAGTTAGCCCCTTCTTTTCTCATGAGTCCAAATGGCATTAGAGGGTTAGTGCTCCCTTGTTTAAATGAGTAAGAATTCAGTTCCAAAATGTCCTGTTTCTAAAGGCCTGATCTCATCTTACAAACACAAGGCCTCTGTCCACACAATCCTTTCTGCCTCTCTCCAGTATAGCCCAGGTTTATGCACTGTGATAGGATCATAGCACCTTAGAGCTAGCTAGAGGTCAGCTGGTCCAACCCTTTTATGTTAGAAATGAGAAAACTGAAGACCTAAGAAATGGGGCAAGCAACCTTGGACAAGTCATGTCCCCTCCCTGAGGTCTTAATTTTTCTAAGTCATGTGCTAAGGGTGAGGAGATAGGAAATTGTATGCAAAAAGAGAATTAGAGTTTAATTTGATACAAATATAACATCTTTTCCATTCCCCTTCTTTTGTGTTCCCCTGCCCCATGGAAAACCAGTACTCATGGATTTGAAAAAGGACAATATCCTTGGAGCAAGGAATAAAAAACTGAATCTTACAGATAGCGTAGAGTCCAAGAGCAGTAATAATCAATTAGGAGTCTGTTGGGCAGAATACTGATGTGATCAATTTCCTGAATATAGTAAAAACTGGGGGGAAAGGGTTGAATGAAAGTTTGTGCACTAGTCAATTTTGGGTACAAGTCTATACTAATTCACACAAATTTAAATGCAAGTTAGAAAAAAAGAGTATACTAAGTACAAGGGATTCTCACATAGAGTTGAGGTAAAGGAGCTAAAATCCTACTTTTATCATTCCCTCAAATCTTCAAAGGCCAATGAATTTGCTTCCACCTACAATTCAAAACCACCACCAGGGGAAAGGAAAAAAACCTCAACTTCTTGAGGAAGGTGGAATGAATTGATAAGAAACCTCAAGCTGTGAGACAAAAAATACAGATCACAGCATTTAAACTTTTTTAAACTATTTTCTGTATAAACATGATATTTAAAGTGTACATTTGAAGTAGGGCACAGGATCTAGTAGCATTATGGGTAATTGAAATGTATATACCTAAAATGGAAAATTAAATGCAGGAAGAAATACAGCTATCAGAGATATTAGGAAAATCATATGACTTCAGCTGAAAGGGTCCTTAAAAATGATGTCATTCAAATTTCCCATTTTATAAATGAGGAAATGGAGAGTCAGAGAGGGGGTCACTTTCCCAGTGTCACACAGGTAGAAAGCAAGAGAATCAGAATTTGAACTCAGGTCCTCCGACCCCAGAGCCAAGGATACTTCATTCAATAGTTGTGTTCTTGAAAAGTTATGTGTGTATAAATAAAATATTTCAAAATTAAGGAATCTTAGCATCTGAAAGGGCCATCTAGTCTAACATCTTGCCCTCTGCTAGAAAATTCTCTATGGTGTCATTGAGGGGAGCCATTCAGACTGTTTAAGTTCTTGTAGGTACAGGAAGGCCCCTTTCTCCCAAAGCAGCTCATTACACATAACTGGGCAGGTCATCCTGTTAGAAAGTTTTATGCTACAATGAGCCTAATTTGCCTCACTGTAATTTCCACCCACAGGCCCTTGCTCTGTCCTCTGGAGCTGTATAGGAAAAGCCTCATCCCTCTTCCATTTGATAGTCCTACAGATAGATACTTGGTGGCAAGTACTCTATTTCTCTCATATAAGCAAAAACACACCTAGTTCTTTAACTGTTACTTATATAACAAAGAGTATTACTTAAAGAAATCTTTTGTAATACTAAAAACCATCCCCTGAATTATGTTTTACAAACGAAATTTTAGTTCACTAATTTTTTTTTTTAAAGTAGCATAACCATATTAACAGTGGACATTCTGAGACTAAAGCTCTTCCATGCAAAATACTGGGCTCCCCTCAGAGTTTTTACCTTCCTCTGGTGCTGGGATGACAAATGCATTTAACTGAACTTCATTCTTGGGCAGGGTCATCTCTACGCTGTCTCCTGCAGATACTACCAACTCCTTTATACCTGAGAAGAAAGCATATACACTAGAATTAGCAACAGAGCTAATGGAGACTTCTCTTCATTCTGTGGCCAAAATCCAAAGTCTGTAAAAGGGTAGGCTATGTCAGATGTTCCTCACCACTTCTAGTCTCTCTCTAATCTAGCCTGTATCCAGGTTTCTATCTTCATTATGCCAGTGCACCTGCTATATGAGTTCCTGCTAACTAAATCCAATAGCTTTTCCCACAGTCATAGGCCAACTTCTCTGAGTCATCTGATACTTGGGAACTTCCTCCCTGAAGCCCTCCTGCCTTTGGTCTAGGATATCATATAACGCTAGTTTTAGTGGATTACAAGATCAATCTGAGTACAAGTGTAATATGGCAACCAAAGTCAATCAAGTACCACAGAGCATGGCCTCCAGGAATGAAGGGATGATAGCGGAGCCTGTACACTGTACTCTGCCTTAGACCACGCACAGACTGTGGTGTCCTATTCTGAGCATCACAGGTTAGAAAGGGCACTGACATGCTAGAAAGCATGCAGAGTGGGACGACCAAGATCAGGAAGGCCCCAGGGTCCGTGTCATAGAAGGATTAGACGAAAGTATCTGAAATGTTTGGCTGGCAAAGAGAAGGCCCAAAAGGGACATGATAGCCTGCTTCAAGAACCTAGAAGGATATCTTATGGAAGGATTAGGCTTTTCTGTTTAGTCCCAGAAGGCAGAACTAGCAGCAAAGGATGGAAGTTGCAAAGAGATGTCAGGAAAAACCTCCTCACAATTAGAGCTATCTACACATGGGATGGTCTGCCAGGGGAGGTAGTGGGTCCTGAGTAGAGGTTTTCAGACAGATTGGATGACTATTCATTAGGTGAACTGTAGAAAGGATTCTTTTTGGGGTATGGGCTGGACTCATTGACTCATGGTTGCTTCTAACTCTGAACTCTAGTGATTCCAATTCCACTTCTTTTCCTACTTTTCTGTTCTCCCCCTTCTCCCCATCCCCCCACACCCGAACACCACGCTCCATGATCTAATTGTGAGCCTCTTCCAACTCTGAGTCACTGGCCTCTGTTATTTCTATAATCACTTTCTCATAGATTTCATCCAATTTCATAGCTTCACTGATCACTCCACTCCTATGTCTGCTACTCTAAAATCTGTAACTCTAGCTCTTACCTCTCACTGAAACTCCAGTCATATTTCCAGTTGTGGGAACAGTTCTGCATTCCTATGTGACATTTCCATCAGGATCTCAAACTAAACTCATCTTTTCCACCAAAATGGCTTTCCTTCCTAATTTTTCCCATTTTTATCTATGGCATGATCCTTTTAGTACTTGAAATACTTTCAGGCTTGAAAACTCAGTCATCTTTGGATATACAGGATGAAGAAAAGGCAGGAAGCAGTCACCAAAGCTTGTCAATTTTTATTTTGTAATATCTGAATCATTCCCATTTCTATCAACTTCCCCCTACTCCAGCAACTCACCACCTCATGCCTGTATCACTGCAACAGCCCAACTGTTGTCCTTACCTCTTGCCTTTCTTTGCTCCAATCTAATCAAAAAACCAAGGCCAGATTAATCTTCCTAAAGAACTGACATCATTCCCTGGCTCAAGAACCTATAATGTCTCATACTGAACTGAAGTACCAATCCAAGTCCAAACTTTTAATCCTGACACTTACTCAAAAATCTTTACAACCTGAACCCTCCCTAATGAGCTTTTTCCTTTATCTAAACAAGAACCTTTCACTTCATTCAGATCAGTTTCCCAGTCACTAGGGCCTAGTGTCCCTTTTATATGCCAAGCTCATCTAACTGTCATTATGTCCCTCCTCTTCCCCTCTGCTAATCAAACCTTTACCTATCCTCCAAGGTCCAGCCCTCTACAAAGACGAAGCCTTTCATGACTACTCCAGTCTACCCTGATCTCTTCCTTTCCTCTGAGCTCCTACAGGAATAGGCCATAGGTCTATATGGTCTTATATTCCTCTAGTTTTCTTATCTCCCCAATATCATAAGCACCCTGAAGTCTTCCTCGCACCCCTCCCCCAGATAGTGCCTGGGCACATGGGAGCAGCTTAACGCTTCTTTACTTGGCTGAGACCTAACACCAAACAAGCTTTGAGGAATGATGACATTTTGTTTGCATGGCAAATACAAAACATCCACGTAATACTCACCTCCTATTTGGAACTTTATGATTTGGGGAATGTGAAACCGTCTACTATGCTGTACAGAGGTTTTAAGTCTCTTGAGTCTCAAGAGAGGGAAGAAAAGGTCACTAAAGTGGTTTCTGAGAGAACCCACCTATCTTCACCTGGCACTCATAGGACAAAAAAACCTTACTTAGCATCATGCAACCTTAGTCCTTCACGATTACACCAAGAATTTCAGGTATTATGCCTGAACACAAGCATCATTTCAGTGCTAATAGATTCTGGAAAAACCCTGACAACAGCTTCAGGTTACATCAGGGGGGAAGGGAGAGAAAGAAAGAGAGATAGATAGAGAGGAAGAGAGAAGGAGAGAGGAAGAAGGAAGGAGATAAAGAGGAAGAGAGACAAAAGAGGGAAGGAGAAAGGGAGAGGGAAGGAGATAAAGAGGAAGCGGGAAGGAGACAGAAAAAGGGAAGGAGAGAGGGAGAGGGAAGATGAGAGAGAAAGAGAGAAAAGGAAAGGGTAGAGGAAGAGAGAGAGAGAGAGAGGAGAGAGAGGAAGAAGGAAGGAGATGAGGAGGAAGAGGGAAGGAGACAGAAAGAGGGAAGGAGAGAAGGAGGGGGAAGGTGAGAGAGAAAGAGAGAAAGGGAAAGGGGAGAGGAAGAGAGATAGAGAGAGAGAGAGGGAGGGGGGAAGAGGGAAGGAGGAGATAGAGGAAGAGGGAGGGAGGGAGGAGGGGGAAGGGAGAAAGAAGGAACAGACATACACATATACACACACTTCCATTTCATTGGCTCTGCTTTTCTCCCCTTTACGCTTATCCAGGGAAAAGATCAGCTCAGTTTTCTCTATTAACCATTTCCTCTTAACACTTAAGACCAGCACCCTTGAAGAACAGACCCAATGTTGTTAAGGCAACGATCTATGTATAAATTCCTCTTCCTGACGGTTGCTTTAAAAATAAAGATGCTGTCAAAACCATAGAGACAAACATCTGACCTACTACCAGCCTTTTAGATGGCAAGTGGGTGCATGTATCCAACACTCTCTTCCCACCAGGCTCCGTCTGCTTGGTTCCTCTGAACATTATTGAATTTTACAAGAACCTGGTGCTCTTAAGTAGCAGGATAATATGCACAGTGGAATCTGGCTCACAGAGAGTGAATCTCATAAATTTCCACGTGCTGTAAGCTTGCTGAGCAAAAGGAGCAGGAGGCTCAGGTTATATTTGCTGGAGAGATGCTGACAGGGCTGATGTTTCTCCAGTCTGCAGTATTCAGAAATCAAGTCTTATTCTCTTCTCCTTTTTTAAGCCTCTAAAAGGGGCAATGCTCAGATTTCTTGGCTTTCTCATCCCATCTTTAAGGATGGGGGCAAAAAAGCTCTTTGGCCTGTCTCACCTGGGGTTGATGACACAGTGCTTGGGAAAGAAGTAGGGGTAGTCTGGTGAGTAGGAATATTATCCCGATGGGGCAGAATCGGTGGCAAGGAAGTAGTGATGTGACTATTCCCAAAGCTTCTTCCTGGTAAAAAACTGGGAGTAGGAATCAACTCCTTTGAGATGTTAGGCTGGACAGATGTATTGGTCAGCAAACTGAGATTCTCTCCTGCAGCTGTTAGGCCCAGGATTAAAGGATTGGAAGAGGTAACCAGATCAGGGGGTTCCAGCAGCCTGGGAAACTCCTTGCGGACCTAAAGAAACACAAAGATGTACCACATAAATAAGTAAAAGCTATGCAGTTTTCAATTCCTAAAGCAGGGGTTCAGATTTTGCTACTGTAGCAATAGAAAAGCTCATTTGTAAGAACCGTGCTTTGTATCAGGGACATGTTTTCTAGTTCCAAAGCTAAAAAGAAAGCTCTTCTGTTTTGTTGTTTGGGGCAACAGGAAGACTATAAGGTAGGACAGGGCAGTCTGGGGAATTGGGGGGAAGGTGTTTCCTTAAGCAGGATTTTCCTGGAATTACAGAGAAAATCCATAAAACCAAACCAATGCAGAACAAAAAGTTCAGATGTTACCATGGGTAAGCAAGTAAGTCTTCTTGATATTAATTCTATTCAGAACAGTCTGATAGAGGCAAAGCGGGGGTTTGGGCTGCATTCTCAACACTCCCCTCCCCCCAAGCTGAGAAGCAAAGCCAGCTCTAGGATTATACTGCCATAATCCAAGATGACAAAAATAATTTCCTTCTTTTCATTGCAAAAATTCCTCCACTACTACATATTTCCATTTCTAGTGGGAGCCTGCAGGATACATACAGGATGTTTCAACTAGTTTTATCTATGCTGTCCATGTGGGGGACATATTTGGTAAAACACATGCTACTCTGGAAACATCTGTTTTATATTAAAAATGATTCACAAAAAAATTCAACATCCAATTCACTTTAAGATCCAATGGTATTAAAATAAAACAAAAACCTACCACTTTCTAATCAAAATCAAAACAGTAGAAAAGACAACGTCTTCCTACACCCTACCTCCTGCCTAAGGCATGTTACTGACACAGAGCCCACGCAGTGGCAAAGGCAGCAGGGTTTGGACAAAAACCTGAGATGACCCAGTTCTCCACGAGAATCAGTAACTGAGAAACACAGCCAGGCGCAGCTTAATGTTGGTGGATGATGTGCTCTCTCTGCTCAATGTCTCCCTCGAGAGATGTACTTGATGGAAGGGTAGGGAAGTCATAACATGGCTTTCATGGTTGCTCTTAATTAATGGGTAGTCAGTGTCAAGGTTTTTTTTGCAGATACCACTCTATCTTCCTTCACCAAATATGAAGATGCCAAGTTTTAAACAGGTCTAAGTTAAAACAAATCAGTATGAGCCTATCCTGCTGTTTCAATGCCTATATTACATAGAACCCAACAGATAAATATTCTGACTCATTTTACTAAGTATGCCAACTAGGTAAACAAATTTAAAAAAAAAAACTTCTTAGGAGATTAGCAGAGAATGAGGGTAGAGATAGAAAGTGTAAGGAAGAGGTGCTGGGTTTCAGGAAGGATAATACTTTTCAAAGAGAAATATTGCTTTGTAGGGGGGCAGCTAGGTGGCACAGTGGATAGAGCACAGGCCCTGAAGTCAGGAGGAACTGAGTTCAAATCCAGCCTCAGACCAAACACTTGACACTTTTACTAGCTGTGTGACCATGGGCAAGTCACTTAACCCCAACTGCCTTTAAAAAAAAAAAAAAGAAAGAAATATTGTTTTGTAGAGATTTTTCTTGTCTTTTTAAAAAAGGGGCTGAGGAAACAGCTGGATTGTCAAGGTTTTCTGGTGATACAATAAGCACTGCTATATGATTAAGGTTCATGAGTATGAGGAAGGAGTGCTCCACAACCTACTAACAAAGATGAAGGACTAAGCAAAACTGACTTAAAGAGATTAAAAATTTAAATGAAAGGAGTAGGGAAAAAAAAGAATAAACAAGATAAACTATTTTTTTCCTGAGATCTTCAGGAGCTTGGAATTCTTCCCATTCAACATGCTATAAGTCTCAAGGATTAAGAGGAAGACTTTTCAGATATAAAATGATTGAATATTTTTAAAGGCTGGGTCCCTGAGCACAGTCTATGCTTGGTAATAAACATGTTTGGTGGAGGGTCATGCAAACTATAACTTTCTCAGCTCCCAATTCAGAAGAAAGTTGTGTGTATGTGTGTGTACACACGCACGTGCCTGCATGTCCTACTTTTTGTGGGGAGTCAGGGGCTGAGAATTCATTCTTTAATGGAAAAGATAGCAGAGAGATATTTGATTGCCTTAGTTCAATTATCTTTTTCATTTATTTGTCTCACAAATAGCCACTGGCTCCATAAAGAATGGAAATGATATACCTACAAAACGAAGAGGTAGCAATGATGATGGTAGATGAGAGAAAAGCACCAGATTTCTTGAAAGCTAGACTTTATGTGAGGAAGATTTTTACTTCAGATCTTCATTTCCTGAGCTCAAGGCCAGCAATTCCTCTCATCGCACAAAAGATCATCTGATTATTCTTGCAGCAATTGCCAAGGGCTAAGTTACTTGTACAAGATACTAGTTCCTAATCTGTACTACTTTATTGTCCACCTGCCAAAATTCTGGAAGAGGAAGCGAGGGAAGATTCATTGCTTAGGGAGGGGAGCTGGCTTTAAAAGAACAGCCAAAGCTTCTCCCTCTGCAAATGGAGAAGACAGAAATACAATGGATCTATAGACATTCCTTCCCACTTCTACAATTACAGAACGTCCACCAAATCTGTTTTTTGGTATAGGAGAGATAACAAAGCTCAACTGTTTTGGGGGTTATTTTTTTTTGTTAAAACAAAAGTTATAATTTTTTAAAGAGATAATGTTTGTTTCCAAAGGAATGAAAAACAAATTCTGACTATGTAGCACCTTTGCTATTTGGCAGATATTGCACAGATGTATAATGGTGATTTGTGTTAACTTTTTTCTGCATTAGCTACAGAAAGAACAGTAGAAGTTGGCTCCACTCATTAGCTGGCTATCACTAATTAGCACTGCATAAATTTCTTTTCCTTTCCTTTTCATATTAAGTGTGAGTTTGACCTTGAATACCCTCTCCCAAAAGAAAAGTTATTCTTCTTGAGATGATATTCTCAAGAGCTAGCAAGCAACCTGTGACCTGATATATTAAACCAAATGCTTCATCTGCAAACTTGCAATAATAGCTCTAAGCATTTTCTTAGTATTTGCTCTGGGGGTAAGAGATTTGCTCTTTTCCTAGGCTCTACAAAATGCTAAATGAAAGCTGATGAGAGGAAGAAGAGGAATAAACCAAGACAAACCACAATAAAAACAAGACAAAGTAACCAAGGGTAAATGAGTCACCTTTAAAACATATAACTGGGAAGAGCAAATATTGAGAAGCAGATTAATATCTACTGGTAGCATTTTCTTTTGCATACAGCCCTCAGTGGGTATTCATGGCAGAGACCGTTTGGCTAGGGTCCACATCCTGTTCTCCAGCCCTGCAGATCATGTCTCAATCTGCAGTATCAGGCATGGCTTATTCAGATTGGAATAGAAGTTACCTCATCAGGAATGTAAATACATAAGAGATGGAGAGGAGGGGGTTGCTTAGGGAGAGAAAGAAATCGACTGCAGCAACAGCAAGTGTTTTCAATCTGGCAGAAAACATTGCAGAAGCATAGATGGAGACTACCACCCACATCCCAGCACCTACCTGTGGCCAAAAAACAACTAAGGCTGAATAATTAGCAGGGGGGGGTTTTGTTTTGTTTTCTTTTACTTTTCCACACACAAAATAGCCTTGAGATGATAGGAACTCTGTCCTTCCTCTCAGAAATCTTAGAAATAAGTCTTAGAAACCAAAATGACATAAGAGATTAATCTCCTGGAAGGGGAAAGAGAAGAGGGAGGAATACAGTGGGGAATATAGACGATATCAAAACAAAATAAATCAACCAAAATTTATTTTATAAAAAGTGAACTTCTCCTAGGTTAAATAACCCTTCTGGGAAGTATTAGTCATGAAAAATTGGCTAGCTTTAGACACTATGCAACAGCTTGGCATAAAAATACTGTTCTCTACTACTAGTCACACACATGCATATATGTATGTCAGGCATCAGACTAGATTTCATGGATATTCCCTGCTTCTTCATCAAAAAGTATGAATACTTTTTCTCTCCTTGTCCTTACCTCTGCAGAGTTATTGGTGTTTGAACTGCCTAGATCCCTGGAGTTATTTATTTCAGAATGTAGCCTTGACTTTCTCAAGTCCACACTTTCTGCTGAAGAGATGTTTTCTTGGACTGGGAGGCTATGTGATTCAGCCTCAAGGGCCTCTGGACTTTTCTGAGCCTTCTGGTTGGCTTGACTTGACTCCTTCTCACTAATGAATTCTGTTCCTGTTTCTGTAGGAGGCCCACTGCCAAAATCACTGGGAAGCTGTCTTTGCTGAGGTTTCTTTTTGGAACTCTGCTGACCACCAGATGATGATGATTTCTCTAAGAGCAGCTCATAATTGGATGATCTCCGGGTTCTCTGTAGAGCCCTGCTCCACCCTAGCCCTAGAAGGTTCACTGTATCTCTTTCAGGTGGGAAATCCAAATCTTCTGCAGTTTGCACTTTACGCAAAAACACCAACATGGAGTAAGAAGTGTCTGTCCTGGAGACCTGGCAGCTTTGGGGATCGCTGCAATTCACCTTCATGCATAGATTTTCCAACCACCAAAAGACACGGCAATTGTGATCCTGGCAGCAGGCAGCCCAACATGATTGTAGAGAATGAGCTCCCTCCAGAAGTTGGAGGTGATTTTCTCCCCAAGACCGCAGGCTGACCCCAAGTTGAGTGTTCCCCAGATGGCACCTACGCCCACTGGCATCTGAGAACAAAGAACAAACACATTTTGAAATGATATAAAAACAGAAGTTGCTGCTCAGTAGAGAACTGTGGACATCAGCAACCTTTAAGTCTACTGTGAAGACTTTTTTAAAGAAAGTAAACGAGCTGTCTAGTGAATCAGGCAGAAGAATGGGAAAGGGAATATCGTAGCTCTGAGAAATTACTTGAAGAAGTCTTTCTACCCATTCACTGAGGGCTCCCCTCTTCCTCACTAGGTCCCTCTACTTATTTTTGGCAAAACATGAAAATCATAACCAACATAAGGACATAATAAAGGACCTATATTTGACCAGTAGCCACATAAGCTGCTAACAGGTCAGTGAGCTAAGCAAATCTAAATATATCCTTTTGATAGTGGCAGAATATAACATTATTTTAAACAGCAGCTCTGGCTCTTTGTCCCCTCAATCTCTCCACAGTTTTCTAACCTGTCATTTGAAAATGTTGTATTGAGGGGCAGCTAGGTGGCACAGTGGATAGAGCACCAGCCCTGGAGTCAGGAGGACCTGAGCTCAAATTCGGTCTCAGACCAGACACATGACACTTACTAGTTGTGTGACCCTGAGCAAGTCACTTAACCCCAATTGCCTTGCCAAAAAACAAACGAAAAAAAATGTTTTATTGATCATATTCCTTGCCTTCTTAGTGGGTGAGGGAGGGACTAGAGAGAGGGAGGGAATTTGGAACTCAAAATTTTAAATGGATGAATGACAAAAATAAATAATAAATTTAGTAAAAGAAAATATTGTTTTGTTTTGTAAAATCACTGTGGAAGGCCAATCTCTTCAAAGAATCCAACCATGTCTCTGACCCATGTGAGGAGAGGGATTCTACCAGAATGACTTGCCTGATCAGAGACTAGGGCATGGAAATAAGGCACTGGAAAGGCAATGTGACATAATGGATAGAAAACTGCCTTCACATACTGGCAATGTGACCTTAGCTAAGTAAGCCACCAAGGCTGCTGTGCCCCTAGGCAGCTGTCTTAAGACAACAAGGTGTCCCATAGAAAGGAAAAGCTTCTCCTCAGAAGCTTCCCAATGAGGAAGTCACAAAGTCCATTCAAAACCAAACCAAACCACCCTAACCTTTTACAGTTAACCCAAATGTTACTGGCCCCAAGTTCTGGCTTAATCTTAGACTGCTCAATTGTCAAGAATCACATTCTCTGAAGATCTGCCTGATTCTTTCTGCTTTTGGGAATGAATATTCAATTCACGTTCCTTAGTGAAGACAAACTACCTGCTGGGACCAGCTTTGCTTAGGAAATCGAGGGCTTCACAAACACTGAGAATTTGCTGCACTCAATTTCCCAATTTCTACTGATAAGTTATTTAAAAAAATTTTTCTTATTCTGAACTTAAGCATCAAAAAAGAGCATTTCCATATACATCAAAGAACACAAAGAACTCTATGAAACTTTGAATCTCCATTTCATACCACTTGCTTTTAAAAGTATATAACCATTTTAATTTTAGGGTTACATAATAAATTCCTATATAATAACTTATATGATAAATTCCACATTACTTTCAAAACTATCCTGCTTGTCTGTGCTTCCTTCTGAACTTTCTTCTATTTTCTTTTGTGCATTTTAAAATGTTACAATGGCCCTCTTTTTTTTTTTGGCATCACTACACCAACCCCACTCCCAATTAAAAACTGAAAGAAAAAAAACAACCCCAACAACTTAGTAATAAGCAGTCAAACAAAACTAATCCACACAGTGCTCATGCTCAAATATGTATGTTTTTGCATCTTGTGTCCATCACCTCTCTTAGGAGGTGGGTAACATGTTTCATCATAGGTCCTCTGGAGATATTGCATTGCAGAGTTCTCAAGCCTTTCAAAGTTTTTTTTTTCTTTATAATGTTGCTGTTCTCATATAAATTGTCCTAGTTCTTCCCACTCTGCTCTGCATCTGTCATATTACCCAGGATTCTCTGAAACTGACTCTATATCAATTTCTCAGGGCACAATAATATTCTATCACATCTATACACCACAATTTGTTCAGCCATTCTCCAAGTGTCTAAGACACAATCTAAAGCACTTCCTTAGATTCTATTTCTTTGCTTTTCTTTCTCCCCAACCCCCTTTTCTCAGTTTCCCCCTTTAGGATCAGGTTTGTTTTGCTTGTAACCATTTCCTTCCTTGGAAACCCTATCCTCACCCTGCTGAGTTGGATATAATTTTACACCAAATTGTTTATATGTGTTTTCAACCCTCTTTTGTCTTTTTCAGGTAAGAGTGAGGTTCATTTTTACCCCTCCACTTTTTCTCTCCTTCCCATATACCCCAATAATGAGAAATAGCAAGTTATACCCCTTTCCTCTTTTCTAAGCTAATGTACTCTTTTCCCCCTCCCTTTTCCCCTATTAAAATCCTCAGAGGAGAACCAATCTACCTCTAGGACTTCTGTTTTTCTTTTCTAACTTCCTCAATACCCTTTGAGGACATTAAAGTCCTGAAGGGACAATGGTTTCTTCTCCCTCTGTTATAGGAGTTGTTAACCTTTTTTTATTTCATGGACATCTTTGACAGTATGGTGAAACTATGGACCCCTACTAAGAATAATGTCTTTAAATGGAAAAATAAAACATATGGGATTACAAAGGAAACCAACTATATTGAAATGTAGTTACTAAAAAAAAAAAGAGTTCATCGACCCCAGGCTAAGAACTCCTGTTCTTGTTTATGGGTTTTGCTTTTTTTTTTTGGCAAGGCAATTGGGGTTAAGTGACTTGTCCAGGGTCACACAGTCAATAAGTATCATGTGTCTGAGGCTGGATTTGAACTCAGGTCCTCCGGACTCCAGGGCCAGTGCTCTATCCACTGTGCCATCTAGCTGCCCCCAGAACTCTTGTTCTTATTAAAACATTAGCACTACATCATTATACAACTCTTCCAATTTTTCAGATAAATTCACCTTTCTAGGTTTCCCTGGATTCTTATGTTTCTATTTCAAAGTTCCTATTCATCTCTGATCTTTTCATCAGAAATGTCTGAAAGCCAAAAAAACCTGGAAAGACTTGTATGGACTGATGCTGAGTGAAGTTAGCAGAACCAGGAGAACGTTGTACACAGTAATGGCCACATTGTGTAATGAGTAACTCTGAGAGACTTAGCTCTCCTCAGCAATACAAGTATCTAAGACATCTCCAAAAGTCTCATGATGGAAAATGCTATTCATATCCAGAGAAGGATTGACCAGAGTTACTAAGTCTTTTACAGTTGATTATCTTTATAAAATTGCTATTACTATGCACATTGTTCTCCTGGTTCTGCTCACTTCACTTTGCATCAGTTCATGTAAGTCTTCCCAAATTTTTCTGAAACTATCCCCTTTATCATTTCTTATAGCACAATAGTACTCCATCACATTCATATACCATATCTTGTTCTGCTACTCCTGAATTGATGGGCAACTACTCAGTTTCCAACTCTTTGCCACAGGAGCTGCTTTGTACATATGGGTCGTCTTCCTTTTCCTTTGATCTCCTCAGGGTATAGACCTAGTAGAAGTATTACTGAGTCAAAGCACATGCACAGGTTTAGGGCACAGCTCCAAACTGTTCTCCAAAACGTTCACATTAGATTAGTTTACAACTCCATCAATAGTGCATTAGTGGGGCAGCTAGGTGGTCCAGTGTTAGAGTACTGGCCTTGGAATCAGGAGGACCTGAGTTCAAATTTGGCCTCAGACACATAACACTTAGTAGCTGTGTGACTCTGGGCAGGTCACTTAACCCCAATTACCCCCCCTCAAAATAGTGCATTAGTGTACCTAGTTTCTCCATGTTCCCTCTAGCATTTATCATTTTTCCTTTTCTGTCATCTAAGCCATGGGTATAAGGTACTACCTCAGAGTTGTTTTAATTTGCATTTCTCTAATTATTAGTGATTTAGAACATTTTTTCATATGACTATTGAGAGCTTTGATCTCTTCCTCTGAAAATGGCTTGCTCATTATTTTTTGACCACTTATCAATTGGCGAATGGCTATTTTTATAAAATTGGCTCAGTTCTCTATATATTTGAGAAATAAGATTTTTATTGGAGAAACTTACCGCAAAATGCCTCCCCCACCCCCACCATTCCCTGCTTTTCTTCTAATTTTGGCTGCAATGGTTTTGTTTGTGCAAAACCTTTTCAATTTTATATAATCAAATTTTACCTCCTATGAATCTCTCTATACTGTTTGGTCATGAATTCTTCCCCTATCCACAGATCTGACAGGTAATTTCTTCTCACATCCCTAATTTGTTTATGATATCACTCTTTATATTTAAATCACATACTTAAAAATTTTTTCAATCTTCTGATTTTGTTTTACTATTTCTTGATGTTTTATTAAGTTATTGAATTATTCTAGTTTACAGGGATCCCATTTCTTGGGTAAAGTTTACCACTGTCTCCTGTAAGCTATTTATCCTCTTTCTAATTCTTTCTTCTAGAATTTTTATTTGATTTTTCACCTCTTAATTAATTTCTCCTATGTATTTATGTAGTCACTGTGAAAAATCTACTTTTTCCTTTGGGTGGCTGCTTGTTTTTATGGAATTACTATCTCTTTTTTGGGAATCTGTAGATTTGCAGTAATTTTTGATATTGGTTGGTATATTCTTAGATTTACTCATCTCTCCAGCTTTAGTTCCTACATCGGGGCTTTGTGCCAGGGCCAGGCTCCAGAATCTTCTGAGCTTTTGGGTGGGATAGTTGGCCATGCTTGATCTTGCCCTGGTTTCCTTAAGTTCTTGAATTAGACTCCACATCCCAGAGCTGCGCCCTTTAAGGTTCAGAGTGTGGGATCTTCAGGGTCCTCTCTGGCACCTCAAGACTGTGTTAGGGACCTTGGCGCCCTTGGACCTAGGTGGCCTTGGTTAGCTGCCACTGCTTTCCTGCACTCCCAAGGTCCCCACTCTGGAACTTTCTCCACTCTAGCTGCTGGAACCTTTTGAGATATAGGTGTCTCTGGCT